GTTTCCGGTTAGTAACAGGTCAGAGAAGTTCTGTTTGGATGAAGTTTTCCAATCTACTATTTTCAAGACCCAACTGAAAAATAAAAGTAACTGCCACCTTCGGGTTAAAAAGTTTGAAAGAAAGAAAAGAATCTGTAGGCAGTATTTTAAAATTTGGTAGCCAGCCAAGTAACTCAGAGAGCAAGAATCAGTCTGGTGATTAAAGCACTGGAGTGAGACTCTGGAGATCACAGTTCATTTCCCAGTTCTGTCATTGACTCCATGTCTGATCTTGGGCCAGTCACTCTCTTTAGGCCTCACAATTCACTGTCTGTAAAATGGGAACAACATTTCCTTTTTTACACCCCATCTATCTTGTCTGCTTGGATCGAAAACCTGCAAGCACTTATACACGCACTTAACTTTAAGCATTTGACTAGGCTACCTGCATTCATAAAGTTAAACATGTTTACAGAATCTAGGCCTTCTAAGCTCTTAAGAGCAGGGGTCATCTCGTAATATGTGCATATGCAGCACCTAGCAATACAGGATCTGATCTCAGCTCGGATTTCTAGGTGCTACTGGAATACAATAGTAAGAATAAGAAGTTATATATAATAGGGAGCTGGAAAATGTAATGGATTACCCAACAACTTTAGAGAAGTGATTTAAAAAATAAACAATTTTAAAATAACCCCTCCTCGTCACCTTGTAAAACTCCATCCACAATCATAAGTGTCTCATTAAAAAAAAAAAAAAAAAAAACAGATCCTAGGCATCTGCTATATTTTAAGTGTTAATAAATCACTAATATTCTTTAGCATTATTGGTAACATACAAGATTAAAGCAAAAGATCATATTGTCAGCACAGGCCTAAGTAAGGGCCCAGTCTTGAAGAGCTGCAAAGTGGACTCCTGTACATGACTGAAGCCCCAATAAATCAATGTAAAGTGAAACTGACTTCATTGATTTTAAAGCATCCAAAAAATGTAGAATAAACAAACTGTATTAAGTTATTGATAATAAGGGTAAAGGCCTATGTTCCTTTGTAATAGGGTTTTTAAGTGGACAGCATCCCTTAAAATGGTTGACCTCAAATCCTAAACTTCGCAGAAGGTGAAGAATATGCTCATAATAGGTCCTGATCCTGTAATCAGAACCCCGCTGGGCTCAACATAGACACAGGAGCCTGTGTGCATCAATACCATTGCAGGCATGACAAGTTGCTTGGTTTAAATCCAAACCCACTGCCATCCCACACAAGCTACTATTATCTGCCTGTTTGTTGGTGGAGGTGTCATCAGAAATACCGGTTTATGAAAGAGAGGTAATGTTATAAGTTAAACTGATTCCCATATCTTTGAAAATTCCATTCATTTTTGCCTGTCTGGAGTCCTTCCCTCGATCCCAGAATCGCGCACTGAAGGCCCAAACTACAAAAAACTCCCATGGACTTCAATGGAAGCAGATTGGCCTCAACAGTTCAGAATGGAACAAGTACATTTTACTATAGACCTTTGCATTTATTCAATGTAAAGAAAAACAAAGCCACAATATTTCCCTAGTTCCTGATCTGAAGGCAGAGAATCTCCAAGTTCCCCCATAAATTTATGAGTGTGCCACTTCTTATGACGACAAAATAATACTTCATAAAACACCAACGGCACTTTCAAAACACTGGCCAGACATTTATTCACAACACCCCTCTTTAGGAGGCTAGTAAGCATTCCTATTTTACAGATAGGGAAACTGAGACAGAGATAAGCTGGTTGGGGCAGGCACTGGCTACTCATGCTCTGTGCAGTGCGGAGTTCAATGAGATCTCATTCTTGGTTGGCCTCTAGCCCCAAAATATAATAGATAGTACAGCGATAGATGTTTTAGAAAGGCCCAACAGATGAAAGTGACTTGCCCATAACTGCACAAGAAGTAAATGGCAGAGATAAGGCCTGGTCTAGACAAGATTTTTTGAAATCCTCCCACCGTTCTTCTGGCAACTGTGCTACTATAAAACGGCTGGTGGCCTGCACTCCACAATTGTGTCGACCGGCTCTGAACAGAGTTAGATGACACAGTGGTAAAAATGCTGATGCCTGTTCTGTGCCAGAGGAATACTAGGAATAGACACAGCAGGTTAAAACATAAATTCCTTGTTCCCTGTCCCATGCTCAGCCCACTAATAAATTCTGTCAACCCTACGAAAAGGCTGTGCCTGTCACACGGAGTTAAAGAGGAAGAATCTTTGCATAAGAGAAAATGGACAGTGTTCCCACAGGCAAGAACATCAATTTACAGATAGATCCAGTATAATCCTGCCACCTCAGAAATTCCAGCACTCCTAGAACATAGAGAGATGGCAAATAATTTTCACAACCAAAGAGACAAAGTCTGTCTGAACCTGAAGAAGCTCCAGCCGCGTGTATGTAATGTGCTGCCTGTCCCCCAACCCTTTCCTTAGGGATTTAGCTCAGAAACAGATAACCCAGCAAAGAGGGAGTGTCAAAAACCAAAAAGAAATGAAGTTTACTGCCTGCTGTTGCAGAATTGTGTCCTAGCATCATCTTAAAACAATGGAAGAAAAAAAAAAACCATGTTAGCGAGATGAATTCACATACACCCACTCCCCACTACTCCAGACATTCCTATTGGCATGGCATAGTGGTAAACAAATATAGATGCAGTTCCTACTAATGAGGCAGGGAACAGCGAGGCCAAAGAAAATGCAATCATCTCAGAGGGGAAAAAAAACTGCACAGGACTCCTCCTCTCCCATCCATGGAGGAAATCAGATGCCAGCTGCACCATCCCAGGAAGGAAGCAGAGAGAGGCTCGTGCACCTGATGAGCCCTGCAGAAATGAGCTAGTGATATCATGGTATCCAGACAGACAGTCCAGGGTTTTGCATGCTGAGTTGACTGCCTAGCACAAGCCATTTATACAACAAACTTTTTGTGTAGCATCATTCATGCAAATTGCATCCCCTTCCATCAGTTCAGTCTCCTCTATCTATCCCCTCTGATTTCTGAGTCAGGGGCACACAGCCAGTACCTAGCAGACTTGCTCTTCCCAAATCAGTGTCCTAGCCATTAAATTTAAAACCCACCATTTTCAGTCCATATGCATTTAGCACTTGAAGCCACTGCCTCTGTGCTCCCAATGTCACTTGAACTCCAGAATAAACCGAGTACACAGGACTTCACAGACAGGGAAGTGGCAACGCTCATCATACTTCCTCTTTCCCTCCCACCCCAAAAGGCATCCTTTCCTTCCCCTATTTGCAGGGGGTGGAGGAAATAAGACATATGATCAAAAGATTTTTCAAAGCTAATGCAAAAATTGTTTCCAAGGAGAGCACCCTGCAGACGCATTTAGAGGCACTTTTAACCACCCCTTCCCGTACACCAAAACCTACCACCCAAAACTGAGGAGCAAGAGCTCAGCTCAGTCCATCTTGCTGTACATATATTTACACCTCAAAGAAAACCATCCTGCCCATTTTTTTCAACTCCACAGCAAGCAAAAACTAAACACAGAATGTACAAGCCTAGCAGAATTCCCGACCGCCTTCTCCAGCCTCACTCTTTTTTAGGCAGTTTTGGGGCCACACACTGGCATTCAAAGGAATCTCCCAGGTACACATATAAAAGCAATTTTAACACCCTCCCTCCACCTCAAAACCTGAGCCTCTTCTTAAAAGTAAAAACAAAATAAACACTGCACCCATGCTCTTCTCCCATACATTCAAAGAGCCACCTTCCTATGTTTCCCCCCTGCCCTCCAGGGTTAAACACATCAGCTACAACATCCTCTTAGGGTTCTCACCTGTCTCTTCCTCATCATGCATGCTCTCTCCTCTGTATATCAAGCAGATTTGTTTTGGTAGCAAGCTCTCACTAGTGTCTTGGACATACAACCATAAAAGCACTGTACCACCCCCCTACACCCACCCACACCAACCTACCAACACAGAATCTCTCCTCTTAACAAGGACCCTCCCTCTCCCAAGTGATTATACAGGCACTTTATTTGCTCCAAAGGTATCTTCCCTATCCTCCTCCCCATAGGCAAGTATAAAATTCCCTGGCGAGAAACAACCTCCTCCTCTTCTTTCACCATAATTCATACCACACACATTCTGTGTCTCAAGAACATAATCTAGGTTTTACTAGTGCGCCCATCACCATAGTATCCCAACACTGGACAAGGCGCCTCCCTTCTTCTCTAATCCCCCTCTACCCAGCCTTACGTTCAACTCCCTTGCAAAACTACCACAGCCTGCAGAATACCCCAACACACCCCAGCCCACTGGCAGCAAAAGCTGTCCCCGTCCTCCCATCCCCTATTTCAGGCAGTGCAAGTGGCCACACAAACCTCAGACACCCCAAACCCACCAGAACAGAATCTAACCTGGTGCAAGCCCCCTCCTTAGACACACCATTGCTCTCACACAGTTTTGTGCTTCAAGCATACAAGGATCCACCATCCCTCCCCATCCCAGCATCAAACTCCTCAGCAAAACCCAACCCAGCCTAAGGGGATTCCTTCCCCTCATCGCCCATCTACTCTCCCCCGCCCAAAAAAACAACAAAAAAATTAATGTCACTCGCAGCTTGTATTTCAAGGAAAGCAAGAAGCCCACCCCTGCCCTTAACAAAACCACAGTGTTAAACTCCCCTCAGCAAAAAAACAACCCTGTCTAGGGGACACCTCCCTGCCCCCACTTCAAGGATACAAGGAGCCACCCAGATCCCTTGTATTAAACTCTCCCAGCAAAATCCAGCACAGGCTAACGGGACCTCCCCCTCCACTTCCCCCAAACCCAGCACTGGGCAAGGGGACTCCCCCACCCCCAAATCCACCTCACACAACCTGTGCTCCAGGGGCTCACGGAAGCTCCCCCGACCCCAGGGTTAAACTCCCCCAGCCAGACCCAGCACAAGCTCAGGGGACCCGCCCCCCGTCCCTCCTGCCCCCCACGCCCCCGAAAGCAGCACGATCCCCCACGCCCAGTAACACTCACCTCTGGATCCTGGTCACTTCTCCACCTCACCATGTAACAGCACCAGTGGGGGGATCCCCAGTCCCAGTGTGAGGGGGAGAATAATGGGGGTGCAGAGGGAGGGGAGCAATGGGGGGGTGAAAATCCCTCAGCTTCCAATCCCCCCCTCCCCGACCCCCCCAAGAGAAATTCCCCCCTCCCCCCTGCTCTTTTTTTTTTTAGCTCAATCACACCAGCCTGACTGTCTTTGTCTGTCGGGCAAGCGCCATGTTGATATCAACATCCAAGCTCCCACCTGCCGCCGCTGTGAGACCCTGGGACTTGTAGTTCCCCCCTCCCCTGGGTGAAGGGGAGAGCCGAGACCCGAGGACTACAACTCCCAGCATGCCCCTCCGGAACGGCACGCCAATGGAGAGCGGGGCTCGGGCGAGGAGGGGACTACAACTCCCAGAATGCCCCTGGGGAAGAGGCGGCTGGGCATGACTTCATCCCGGGCAGAAGGCGGCGGCGGGCGGAGAGGGAAGCGGACTACAAGTCCCATGATGCTCTGGGTGGCAGAGACTGGGCAGGAAGCGGGAGGATGGTTACAGTTAATAGCCCCGGCCGGGTAAAGCATGAAGCTGGTGAGTCTGTATAGTCAGTGTCTGCGTGTGGGGATGGGGGGGAAGGGTTCCCCCTCTTCCCCACTCCTCCGACCCGTGCATGGGGGGGAATCCTGCCCCTGGGGTTCAGGCCTGGTCACCATGGCTACCTCTGAGTGTTTACTGAGCACTGGGGGGTTGCTGGCGCGCGGGGGTCGCCTTCCTCCCTACAGGTGGGGAACTGAGGCCCTGCGAGGGGCAGGGCTGTGTTCAGCCCTGCAGTGGACGCGCTGGGGGACGCTTTCTGTCGTCTGTCTGTGGGGGGAGCATCCAAACACTGAGCCAGGTCCTGCAGCACATGGGAAGGCAAAGCGCCCTGCCATGCACAGCTGCAGTCGAGAGTCCAGATTCTCTGCTTCTGAAAGGGACTAGAGACTCCATGTGAGAGGCTGGGATAGCTGCAGGGGAAGGCAGGAAGGGGCTGATGTTGAGGGTAGAGTAGGGGATACTTCTGAAGGGGTGTCACACAGGCGAAGACCTCTGCCTGTGACAACCGGTGGCCCACCCGGATAATCATCACACACTGCAATTCCTTGTCTGAACGTTGGAAAAGCTGAGTCACCGCCAGGATTTGTGAACCCAAATTCTGAGTTCTTTAACTTGGAGCGATATGGTCCTTAAAAGTGGAACTCTCTGAAAATACTTTGGTTTACTTTCAAGAAGGCTTTGCCATAGGGAAGGTGTGTATTGTAATAGAGCACAGGCTTCTGGGGTGGACCTCCTGGGTTCTGTCTCCATCTCTGGCTTGTTTTGTGACTTTGGGCAAATCGCTTACCTTTGCTATGGCTTAACTTCCTTCTGTAAAATGAGCTTAATAGGTAGGTAGCTTCAGGTTCTGATCCTACAAACAGTTACATATTCATTTACTTGGTCCTGCCTCAGGGCAGGGGCCTGGACTTGATAACTTCTTCTCGAGGCTCTTCCAGCCCTACATTTCGGTGATTCAATATGCTTAACTTTATGTGAATAGTTAGTGGGGGAGGGATAGCTCAGTGGTTTGAGCATTGGCCTGCTAAACCCAGGGTTGTGAGTTCAATCCTTGAGGGGGCCATTTAGGGATCTGGGGCAAAAATCTGTGGGGATTGGTACTGCTTTAAGCAGGGGGTTGGACTAGATGACCTCCTGAGGTCCCTTCTAACCTTGATATTCTATGATCAATGGGACTAGTCATGTAAACTTAAGCACATGTGTTTGTGGGAGTGGGGCATGGTAGGAAGGATATGAAATCTAAGTGTTTGCAAAATGCACTGAAATCATTAGTTTGTCTGTGCATAGTGCTTTTCACCTAACTTACTTTAGTGAGCCACATGTACTGAGCTGAAAGAACAATTTTGTTGTCAGAAACAAAGACTCCATTGTGGGGGGCGGGAGTGCAAATGGGCTGAAATGAGTACAAAATATTTTGAGGCCAAGGTGGTGATAGGCCGGTAGCTTAAGGTCCTAGCTCTTTCTCTTGGGTATCTGTCTTGAGTCACAAGTGAAATCCAGGGTTTTTGGCAATTTCATCCTGGTCCCCCATTTCTTTGTTTTATATTTGGAAGAACAAGACCAAAAACAATAGGCACCAGTCCCAAGCAATAGGCACCTGCTCCAGAGCCTAGTGACGACAATGGAAAGACGGCCAGTGATTTTAATGGGCTTTCATTCAGGCTCTTGCTGCTGCTGCTAATTATAAAGGCAAATCCAACAGCAAACTCCACCACATATATACTGCCCATAAGTAGCATGTAACTAACATTAGAGCACTGCTGCACAATCTGCACTGGTTTCTGGGTGGAACTTGAGCTGTTGGGTTTTAACCTACAAGTCCCTTGAATGGCTTGGGGCCTGGTTACCTGAGAGATTGCCTCTCTCCCGTGCCAAGCTGCCACATGTGAAGTCAGCCGCAGAGGCACTCATACTGGAGATACCTCAACGTAAATAAGTAGGAACCTAACAAATTCGTGGTCCTCTTTGGTCAATTTCAGAGCCATAGGATTTAAAAAAATGGTCAATTTCATGATTTCAGATATTTAAATCTGAAATTTCACATTGTTGTAACTGTAGGGCTCCTGACACAAAAGCGGGTTATGGGGAGAGGGGGTTTTTGTAGGCCGGGTCGTAGTATTGCCACCCTTATTTCTGTGCGGTTGCTGGAGGGACGCTGCCTTCAGAGCTAGGTGCCTGGCCAGCAGCTGCCACTCTCCGGCCACCCAGCTCTAAAAGCAGTGCAGAAGTATGGGTGGCAATACCAAGACCCCCCTACAATAACCTTGCAACCCCCTTTTAGGTCAGGACCTCCAGTTTGAGAACTGCTGGTCTCCCCTGTGAAATATATATAGTACCTGAATAGGGTAAAAATACACAAAAGACCAGATTTCACAGGGGAGACCAGCTTTCACGGTCCATGATGCTTTTTTCATGGCCGTGAATTTGGTAGGGCCCTATAAATAAGACAGTGGAGCATCCCCTGTGAGGAGTCCTTGAATTTGGAACTTGCTCCTTGCCTTGATCTGCCAGAGCCCAGATGTGTTAACTTTCCAACTGCTTTTCAAAGCCTGTCTCTTTCTTTCTTCTCTGAAGCTGTTGAAGAGATCATGGGCCAAGGTGGATATATTTATGGACAAACTTTTGTTTTTGAGTAGTAACCTTCAATTAATAGTTTAGAGGACAAGAGCACTTGAGTTGCCGGTAT